CACTCCTGCCTGTTGAACCTGCCCTTCAAGGGCCCCCTCGGTCCTGATGCCCACTGGTAAGAACTATCCACTTGGGCCCGCTCAGGTGGCACCCTAGTTCTAAGATTATTTGTTGGTCTCCCTGGGAGTCCAGGGGGCACAGTGGTTAAGCTGTGCACGTTATACTCAGGGGTTCAAACCCAGCAGCCGCTCCGAGAGAGAAAGGCCTGGCACGCTGCTTCCATCAAGATCTCAGCCTCGGAAGCCCCATGGGGCGGTTCTGCTCCGGTGCCCTAAGGTGCCTGTGGTCGGGTTCTGACCAGTGGTGGTTGTTAGATGTCATGCAGTCAGACCCCGACTCAGGGCAGCCCTGGGTGCAAGGGAGCAAAACACTGCCTGGTGCGAAGCCAAGCCCTTGGTCCTTTAAAGAATGGACCACTGTGGGCTGAAGGATTTCTGCTGGCCGGTTTCCACACGAAGATCACCGGGCCTTTCTTCCTGGCCAGCACTGCTGACGCCTGTTCCTGGCTGACAAGTCAGTGAACCTAACGGAGGACTGGAACCGGGGTTTGCTAGGCTACGACCTTACCGAAGGGGAGAGCCAGTTTCCCCAACAAACAGAACTGCTGGGAGAATTCTGATCACCAGTCTTTTGGTTAGCAGAGCCGTGTTTAACCACGGTGCCACCAGGGTTTGTTCAGCCACCCCAGACTCACCGTCATCAAGTGGATTCCAACTCATAGCCACTCCATAGGGTAGAGTAAGAATTGACCCCTGTGTCCCCACCCCCAGCCAGTCCTGGGGCTTTGGGGCTCTGCTCAAGGGGAGTCCCTCTGGGACATGGGGGTGCAGTGAATGGGGTGACCCTTTGCTGGGCATGCCTACACAGTAGGGTGTGCTGGGTCCCTCTAGGGTTTCCCGTATGAGGTCCAATAAATTTCTTCCCTTTTGCTTAAAAAAAAAAAACTGACCCCTGTGGGTTTCCATGATGGTCATTCTTTACAGAAGTAGAAAGCCTCATCTTTCTAGCACTGAGCAGCTGGTGGTTTTGAACGGTTGATCTTAAACCCAACTTATACCCCACACCACCACCAAGGACTCAGCATGACAGCCATACGCAATTCACACTGACAGGTGGGAGGTGCCTTGGCCGAGAATCAAATTCTAGAAAGTGAGAACCACCAGTGTTCCTTCTCAAAACCTACTCCAGACGCTGCTTAAAGCCCCCCAAAAGGTTGGCCTCGTTCTCAGAACAAACAGCTCATGTGTTATCAAGACTTGAATGCCCCCCCCCCAAATTTTTTTAACCTTGCATGCCCAAGCCATCCATCCTGCTCACCTTTCTTCTCCAGTCATTCAACTCAACCACCACGGGCCTCTTTCTGCTTCTCAAACACGCCAAGCTCATCAGGACCTCTTGGCCCTTTCATCTAGAATGTTCTACACACCCACAGCTAGCAACTTCAGCTCACAGCTCAAAGGCCACCTCCCCACAGAAGCCCTGACTATCCCACCCCCTGCCTTCCACCCCCTCATCCTTCAACGGTGTCCTTCATGGACAGACAGCACCTGCAGCTGACAATGCTCAAAACATTATTTTCTTCTCGGGCAACCATTTGGAAATACCGCAGGTCTAGTCTTCCCAAAAGGTTCCAGAAAGTCCTGTGTTGTTTGTTTTGCAGAAAGTACATTGTCAAGCCATCTTTGCTGCCTTTCTCCTCTGCTGTGTTTCCCTTCCGTCTGAGCATGTCTGCCCTTCCTCGTTCCGCCCAATGGCTGGCACCTGGCCTGGCTCGACGTGCCCCGTACGCACACCCGATGGGCGAACTGAACTCCAGGCGAGAGTTAGCTAGAGCGGGCCCCGAGTCACCTTCAGGAAGGCCAGACCCCCGCCCCCCCACCCCCCAAAAAGCTTCCGTGAAAGGAAACCCAGCCATCTAGGTCTGAAGGAGAGAAACTAGAAGAGGAACCCCCCCCTTCCCAACAGTTCCACCTCATCCACTCTGGTTCTGGAGGGGCCGTGCCCTGGGGCAGTAGAGCAGTGTGACCACAGCAAGCCTGGGGCACCAGGGGGACTTCAAACCTCCAACCTCTTTGGTTCTAGCAGACTGCCCGCTTCACCCCTGAGCCACCAGGCCTCCTGATTGCTCTGATTTTTAAAAAAAAAAAACAGTGCCATCGAGTCGATTCCAACTCACTGCACCCCGGAGGACCACGGAGAACCACCCCAATGGGTTTCCAAGGGTGCCCTCTCTCGGGAAGTAGACTACCACAGCTCTCTCCCGAGGGGTAACTGGTGGCCTCTAACACCGACCTTTCCTGTCGCAGCCAGCCCTGACCCGCCGCACCACCAGGCCCTTTACAAGGAGACCGTGCCTTTGAAACCATCCAAGAGAAATACGCCGTTTTCTCATAATGTCCATGCATGCCTCTGCCCAGTCTTATTCCAGAACCATTTTCAGGGCGGGAAGTAAAGTGTGGAAAACGGACTCCCTGCTAAGACTCCCCAGTGAGGGCATCACTTCTTTCGCTTCTTTTGAAGTCATGGTTTGGGGCTCTTTGTAATCTGAGGGTCTCCTTCCAGCACCAGCTTGGGTCTCCAACACTACCAAGGCGAGGTACCAACAGGCCTCACCTCCCGAGTGTTGTGTTTTACAGGTAC